TTTCTTTTGTTCTTAAGATATCAAACAGATATTGAGATTTTCTTTGATTAACTGGTGATCCCATTAGAGTGCATGTAAAGTATGTTAAATTAAATAAATAAATACACATACAATAGCTTCATGATAGCTTTGTAACTGTGTCGATGACTGCTGATACAATGTTACTTTTAAAGTGCAGGAGTCAGAAGTCATAGATCATTATACAAATCTTTAAAGACAAAAAGATTTAAAGATGAAGTAATATCTGATAGGATATGAGCAGTAAGAAAAAAACTGTCATGTGATATCTGGCAGCTTTGTAACACAAAAAGTGACCAGCAAATGCTCTTTCTCTGATATTACAGCAGCGATGTCAGCTGGTTTGTTGCAGTTCTGCTAAAATTGACCAATTGCCTCATTTCACTCCAAACTCATCATACTCATCAACAGACAACAATTTCTTATTAACTTTCTAGCTGTGGGCTCGTTTGGTAAGGAAACATTTTACTGCTTTTCCCCAGCGCTTCTTAAACAAACATTTAAATTTTGTTATCCGTCATGTACTGCCCTGTCAGCACATTACTTTGTTGTACTTTAACTGAAAAAAACATGAATTCATATTTTTTGTATTTTAACAGATTTCAGAGCACAGCTCTGCAGACGTGGTTAATCACTACTTATAACAAAACTGCGAACTCTGGTTGGACAGGGCTAGTTTCTGGTGTGATTTTAAAGTAGGGAAGTTGCATTAAAAGACAATGAATGATTTGTAAAAACTTAATAAGTGGTATGATTAATATAACTGAAAAGTAACAGTGTTATTGTGTTTACAAATCCAGGTTTCTGTCTGTAAATATTGTGACAAGCAGCATGTTAGTGAGTGTCCTCTTTGTTTCAGGTGAGCTCTTAGTTCTGTTTTTGGAGATGATACTTGAATCATTAACAGATAGAGTTACTTTGACTGTTTATGTCCTGACTGCAAAGGGAAATGTTTTATAAAGAAAATGTTAACAGGTCAGGGAAAACAGCAGGCAACATACTGCTGCTTTGTTTATCATGAACGTTCTCTTTTTTCCAAATTCTGCTTCACATTTTGTTAATCATCTGGTTTTACAGGTGTTTAGACCTTGTCCTCAGGAGTCAGCCCTCTTCATTACTGCACCACAGAACATGGAAGCACTGAGTGGATCTTGTTTGCAAATCCCATGTAACTTTAGAGCTAAATCAGAACAAGAGATTGACAGCAGAAGAAAAACCTTCAGAGTGTGGATTAAAAGTGTCTCCAGGTTTGGCATCAATCCAAACAATGTGATTTTCAACAGTAGCAGGACAGTTAACATCTATCCAATGAGGATTACTGGAAACCTGAGTCAGAAAAACTGCACCACTCTGTTTTCTAATTTACTCACAAGTTATACAGAAACATACTTCTGGCAATGGATCAATGGAAATTAACTGCTGGAATGTTTATACCTTAAGAAATGTTTCCTTATTGCATATTGAAATGTATACATATCATATTACATATTATATTTTTTGCGTTACTGTTTAAAAGCATGCACTTTCATGTGAACAGAAAAAAGTTTCATGTGGGGATCTTCTGTCGCTGCTTCACATTTTTCATCAGTGTAGTACAAAATCTTCAAACATTTATAAACATACACCTGAATTCCAAACAGGTTCAATTGCTCCATGATGAGGCTTTTTGTAACTGATGAAGCTGAATTCATTTTCATTACAGTTTAACAATAAAAGGATGTTGATCACCGGTACAAACAGAGGAAGGAAGAAGCTGCTGACCCTGACGGGAGTGCCTTACACTGGGGTTAATTTAGCTTTCACTTTGCCATCACTCTTGCTGGTTTTAAGAATATTGACTGACAGTGATTTAGCTCACTTGTTTTGAGGAATCTTCAGTGTTCTTTCTAACATTTTTAACATTATTAGAATAGGCTTTAAAGGCTCTGCAAGACAGAATATGTCATGTTAAAATGTAAACATCAGATGTTGTTTGTAACATTCTTATGCAAAAAGGCATAAGAAGTGTACTTTGTTGTTGCTTTGACGCCTGAACAGTAATGTCCTCACCCTCAGTAAATGTGGAGATTAAATTTGACATTAATGTACAGTAAATGTCCGCTGCTCTTCTGTACGCCTTGAAACGAAAGTATCTTTCCCAGTGTCAGAGAAATCACTTGCATCAAGACAAGTGTGGGTGAATAATTCTGTGAAATGTGATTTGATGTGTTTTGTGTTGTAGGCTCCGTGTGAAGCGGAGGCCAGCTGTGCTGCTCTGGTTAAAGCAGGGAAGGTCGCCACAGCAACAGAGGATATGGTCATGACCTAAGGTCAGCCCATCCATGAATTTTAATTCTAAATGTATTCATATAGCCTAACAACGTCTTCGGTCATTTGAATTGTCAATTGATGCTCTTGTATATCAGTATAATATCAATATGAACATCTCAAACGGCAAAACGACTTAATGATGCACTAACGAAGGTTAATTTATCTCTGTATAAGGTCAGCATCAAATATAATCTTTAGGATGCCTTAGCGCCTCAGGCCCTTCGAAGAGACTTGACTTGCTGAGATATTGGAAGAGACACATGTATGGTTGTTGTTGCGGTTTAGATTGCCACGGGCTGTGAAACTTATTTGACCTGCAACTCAGCAGACAGACACACCGATACAACCATATTACCTTAATTCCACTGCTGCTGATGCTGTTAAAAATTATAGCAGGACTTAAATGTCATTCACATAACTGTATAATAAATATATTTCAGAATTGTTGACAGTGGTTGTTTCCTTTGCAATACATTATAATATCAGATTGTGACTGGGCTCTCCATCTCTTATATATATTTTGCAGTAATATTACCATGCCAGGTTCCTGCAGTGGAGTACAGTAAATCACAATAAAGAGAAATGCTTTTCAGTAATCTGTGGCTTACACCAAATATTCGTTTTTGCTAAACTAAGAACACACAGTTTCTCTTTGTCAACCATATGAATCTGCTATAAAAACTCCACAGCAACTCTGTTACAGGAGCGACACACACAAGTTATTTTGACACATCTGGCCCCTGTATCACATTGTAAGACAACTTTTAAACAAGTTCTATAGAAATGACTTGACATATTGCAACCATTTTGCAGAAGGCACTTTGAGCTGTGCAGTGATTAAAACTCTTTCAATTGCAGTAAACAGTGCAGAGCACTACAGCAGGATCTCAAGAGAATGACTGAGATTCAAGCATCATGAGCCAGAAGGGGAGGAGGAAGATGTTAACTATCAGCGGCATGATATGTTAATTTGTTTCAACCCCCTATATCTATGTGTCGGGTCCCCAGGCCAGTAAATATTAAATATTCTACTTGTTGAAAAATCAGGATAACGCAAAAGTACATACATGATTTTTAATGATTTGTCTAAGGTTGGGCACTTTCCCTGTTTTCTTTTTGTTTCTTTTAAAGGTAAACACTGCAATTTTTTCTCAAGTGCTGTCAGTGAGGATTGTTGAAAAGGTAACAATACCCCTCTTACTAAAAATACAAAAAGATCAATTACATTTTACAATCACTTAAAATCAGTTAACCCCCAGACATACCATCACAAAGCCCTAACATGCCAGAAAAGAGTCCCCTCAGTCAGCTGGTCCTGAGGCTCTCTGCAGTAACAAGTCCCCAACAGCCTCAGGACAGCAACACCAACTCAAGCAGATCAAACAATATTATCAACGAGCAAAAACAAAAAAATACTGAAGAGAAAGAAACCACCAAAACACAAAGTAAATTACAATGTTATCTGACCATAAAAAGAGAATTCACACTGGCAAATTACCTGAGCACAATAAAATGTCCTAAACTAAGAAAAGTGTTGACAACATACAGACTGAGTGAACACAGCCTGGCCATAGAAAAGGGTCGCCACAGACAGAGCTGGCTACCAGAAGAGGAGAGACTCTGCTCCCAGTGTGACAGTGAACAGGTAGAGACAGAGTTGCACTTTCTAACCTCAAGCCCTAAATAGAAAACATTAAGAGAAAAACACTTTGCAAACATTTCCAATATATACCCTGAATTCGAATGTATATCAGACACACAGAGACTCCCCTATTTACTGGGAGAAATGCCAGAATGCCAAATCATTGCAGCAAAATTTACCTCATTTTGCCATGAACTGAGACAACCAGTGGAAAGTCAGATTGATAAATAATTGTATAATTTTCAAACTATTATTATTTAGTTTGACATTTTAGTAATTGTTCCTTTATTTGTATTTTGTTTTTAAATTCCACATTTGATACAGATTTTTTATTTTTTGTCTATTAACACACACACATTATTGTTTTATTTATTTATTTTAATTGAATATATTATTTCATTTTCTAACATACACGCTTACTGTTTTATTTAATATTTATTTTTATTTTATTATTATTATTATGTTATTTGTTTATTAACACACACAAACACAACTTTTACTGTTTTATTTACTTATTTAATGAAATGTATGAAATTAATTGTTCTTATGTAATTTATTTGTAGCTTTGTACATTTATACGAATTAAGCTGATTTGAATTGAAAAGATGGTTTGACTTTGTCAGTTATTTTCTTTAACTGACCTCACCTGTGTCACGGCCTCTGCCGTATCATCAGTGTTTTCCCTTGTGTTTCCCCCGTCCCCTGTGTCTCCTGACCTGTCAGTCTCTGTGGTTGCCATTCACCATCTTCCCTGCTCATCGCCCCTTACCAACTTTGCAATAAATCTTTTTAGTTGAAAGAACTGAGTCTGCATTTCTACATCCCATTTCAAATGTAAACTGTCTTTTTGAAAAGAAAAAAGCATGGGATTAAAATAAGAAAAAAAAAAGCATTTTTATATTTATTTGAATATTTGTTTTGTATATAGATACACAGTGTAACTAATTGCCACTTAATATCACATCCAGCGTAGTGTTGGCTCTGTAAAATATAAAACTCTATAAAACTCTAATTATTCTTTTTGATTAGATTGATTGATAGACTGATTTATTGTGACTGCACACAGTAAGTACAACAGAATACAGTATTTCATGTGAAAGATGTAACAACCCAAACACAAGTGACTGAAGTGAAGAAAACATGTCATCAAAAAGATAATATTTTTATCTGGCACTATGGTGTCTCTTTCTCACCATTATTGTATTTATATATGTAACCTAATGTATATATTATGTTATATATATATATATGTATACATACATATATATAATATATATATATATATATATATATATATATGTATTATAATTTATTGAAACTTAATGTATTCCATATAAAGAAAAATAGGGAAACAGGCTTGCAGTGGAGCAACATAACAAAAATACTCAAAATTTGAGCAGGAAAGACGAGATCTGCTTGTTTTTCTGTGTTGCAGAAAGTCAGGTCATGTGGTATTTACCAGCTTTAGAACAACCAGCCGGGCTTGATGTTTAGTCTCAAAATTTGCTTTTGTATTACAATGGCTAAACTGATTTGCTGGTCTGTTGCACACATTTCCTGCATAACTCACCCCTAAGTTAAAATAAAGGTTAATCAAATGTCCATAGCTATCACCCGAGGAGTGCTAGGTGGCAGCTGGAGCAGGCACTGTTTGCTTTTTATATACACTTATCTCATGGCCACAAAGGTAATTAAAACTTGGGAATGGGATAGTATCTTTAGGCCACGAGGTAGTGTCTTATTCCTTCCTATGTTGGGTTAAAAAATGCTGTTTCCGCTTTCCATTCCATTTTGAGATCTGTAAAAACCATAAATACTAATAAAAACATACTAGACGCCACACAAACATTTCCTTGTAACAATAATGATAATACAACCATATTTGTTAAATAAAATACACGTCTATCTATACATTCATTTTTTCTTCACTTGAGCGTAGAGATCCTCTGGGCCGTCAGCAGTCTGTGTTAAGCTATTTGCTGGCTGGGACACTTTGACCTGTGCATACAGAGTATCCTGCTGCTGTCCTCTGTCCTGCGCTGAGTCAGAGGACGGTTCAGGTCTCAGCTTGGAGAAGTCGATCTCTCCATAATGAATGTCTTCATTTTCTGTTCCTCTGGCTGGTTCTTCAGCTGTTGGGCTCTGTGAAAAATGAACCAAACCAGAAATGACGTGGAGAGCAGATCTGAGTACTTCCTTCAGTTTAGTTTACTTTCTCCTTTTGTCCCTCACTCAGCTCGCACTATTATAATACTGATAATAATAAGAATAATCTGCTTTAATTGGACACAGCAATTAAAACTGTTTTTGTTGTGCCAAAAAGTTTTAAAATAATCTGAATAATTATAGATACATACAGAGGAAGGTTAATGTGAGTTTCTAACAGGATGTTTCATAACATTTACTGTATTTCCACATTTACTCTCTAATGAGGAACCTGTTTAGTCCAGTCTAAATCTTAATAGGAATAGTTAGAAACATATTCATAACATGTACAATGAAGTATTTTCCCACCTGTGTCTGTTGTGAAGTTGGATGTTTTGACTTTAAACACCTGGAAAACATAAGGGGGCTGTCAGCTTTTGTATGATAATAATATTAATATGAATCTTTTTTTAAATTAAAGTTTCAACACATTGGTTACAAGCAAGTCATTTGTTTGTTTGGATAAATCTGGATATGAAATTTTTTTGTGATACTTACCAAACGGCTACAACCACACAGATGAGTACAATGACCCCAACGATCCCTCCAACAACTGCCCCCCATGGTAAAGAGCTACCAGGCTGTTTTGCTCCTACAGAAACAAAACACTGTAAGTGTCAAAGTGAAGTTAGTAAGAATTTTAAAAAGCTTTTATTTGATGCAATATCTTGAAAACATTTGTACCAAATGCAAAGATGTTGTGCTTCACTTATATTTGCAGACATGGTGTGGAATTAATTGCACATTGTACAATAATATAGGAAAAACATAGTTTCTGCAAGGTCTGTGATAGAGCGTCACTATGAAAAACATTCTGTCTCACCTTTCCTCCTTTTTTTTCTGTTGCTGAAATTCTCTTCCCATTGTCAATTTTTATTCAACATTTCAACAACTCTTCATTTCTACTTTCACATCTCATTCACAAATCTCCGTCCTACCTCTTATTTTTCTTGAGTCTACATTTTATGCAGATGCTGCTTTCATGTATTATATATTATTACAACAACAATGTTATCTGTATAACTGAGAATAACTGCTCCTATTTCACCACTGGAGGCAGTTGGTTACCTTCAATTGTCAGATGGATCTCTGATGATGTTTCATTACCGAGATCATTAGTGGCCACACAGTAATAAACTCCATCAGTGACATTGGTCACCTTGAAGCTGTAAACCTCTCCTACAGATATGTTCTTGGGTCCATCTGTGCTGCTCTTGAACCACGTGAAGCAGCTGATGGGAGGCTTGGCTCTGCTGGAGCAGGTCAGGTTCACCCAGCTACCTGCTGACACCAAACCTGATGGACTGATGGACACTGAGGGGTTTTTAGGAGCATCTGAGGAAAATGTGAGATTCACTTTATTCAAATCAGCTGACATCCCATCAATCATCATGTGATGACAGGATCCAATAACAAACTCTGCTTGTCTTACATGAAACACTGAGAGTCTTTCTCTCCTCTGCTGTCTTGACATCTTTTCCTTCATTCACAGGATATCTGGCTGAACAGGTGATGTTGTATCCATCATGTTGGTCTGACAGAGTGATGGTCTCCTGGATTTTAGTTGTAAAGGTTCGATCTGTGTTTTCCTCTGTGTTGCTGTGAGAGTCTTGTTGGAGGTTCCAGGTGAGTTTAGGAGGGGACTGTGGACAGGGAGTGGAAGCTGAGCAGGTTATAGTGACAGACTGCTTCTCCTTCAGATCAGCTGGGATCTCAATTCTGGGGCTCGGAGGAGAATCTGTGGTTTCAAATCAAACACAGATTTAACCCCCCAAAAATATAAAATGACTAAACACTTTAGGTGTTTAGATGGTTCAGTTTGTACCAGTGAATAACATCATTTTATTGTTAAACTGTAATGAAAATTAAGTCAGCTTCATCAGTGTGAAAAAACCTCATCATTGGAAATTAGATCCTGTTTGAATTCAGGTGTATGTTTATAAATGTGTGTAGGTTTAGTCCTCCATTTATGATAAATGTGAAGGAGTGACAGAAGATCTAAGAGTTGATGAGAAGAGTCTAAATCAACCAAGTTTTCATTGGTCAGTTAGTTGAAGATAAAAACAATAACCTCAAACTGTGCCTTGTCGTTTGGGAAATTATCAGGGAACTGTTCCAACACGGACCTTTTCTCTTGTAACACGGCAAACGTTCAGTGTTCTCTTTCAAAGTCCAAGCTCAGTCTCCACAGTCATACATTGTGGTGTAGGTTTACTGGTGGATTATAAGTCTGTCCCACTGTTATATCATCAAGTGCACGAGGGCCCTCTTGCAGACTGAGTGTACATGTCTGCAGACTTTGCCTGAAGGAATAACCCACAATTCATAGCGTTGTGACTTTAAACACGGGATTACTAGGGGAAGCCGAGAGGTGTTACAAAACGTAAACAAACATGGAAGGAGCAACTACAATAAAAAATATGTTTTGGCATCGTAAGGTAATGTGACATGTCTCAAAGTGCTGTCCCGTTACACAATTTTGAGCCCACGCAGCCTCTCACACTCAAGCGCTTAATAGGTGAAGTCAACTTTAATATCACAAATGTGCGACGACTGCTTGACTAATGGCTTGAACTAACAACTCCTAGTCGACTAGGACAATCTTTAGTCCCTAGTAATTAGGACACATTTCTTTAAGTATAAACATTCCATTTTTTTCCTACTATTTCGATTGATCGCAGACTGTGGTCTGTTTATATTTGTCACAATTGATTCTGTTGATCATCCTATAGTTTAGATTCACAAATGAAGTTGATCACCAAGGTGCTTGCTACAAAATATCATTATAAACTGACTAATAAAAGAATCTTACCTTTAACTGTTATTTGAAGAGGATCACAAGATGCTGTTGCCATGAATGGTTTGTTCTCAGTTCTGAAGAAGTATGTGTTTGTATAACTTGTATTTAAACTGGAAAACAGAGTGGTGCAGTTTTTCTGACTCAGGTTTCCAGTAATCCTCATTGGATAGGTGTTAACTGTCCTGCTACTGTTGAAAATCACATTGTCAGGATAATTGGCAAACCTGGAGTCACTTTTAATCCACACTCCGAAGGTTTCTCTTGTGCTGTCAAACTCTTGTTCTGATTTAGCTCTAAAGTTACATGGGATTTGCAAACAAGATCCACTCAGTGCTTCCATGATCTGTGGTGCAGTGATGAAGAGGGCTGCTGGCTCAGAACAAGCAGCCCAAACACCTGTAAAACCAGATGATTAACAAAATGTGAAGCAAATTCTGCTCAAAGAGAACATTCATGACAAACAAAGCAGCAGTATGTTGCCTGCTGTTTTTCCCTGACCTGTTAACATTTTCTTTATAAAACATTTCCCTTTGCAGTCAGGACATAATCAGTCAAAGTAACTCTATCTGTTAATGATTCAAGTATCATCTCCAAAAACAGAACTAAGAGCTCACCTGAAACAAAGAGGACACTCAGTAACATGCTGCTTGTCACCATATTTACAGACAGAAACCTGGATTTGTAAACACAATAACACTGTTACTTTTCAGTTATATTAATCATACCACTTATTAAGTTTTTACAAATCATTCATTGTCTTTTAAAGCAACTTCCCTACTTTAAATTGATCACCAGAAACTAGCCCTGTCCAACCAGAGTTCACAGTTTTGTTATAAATAGTGATTAACCACGTCTGCAGAGCTGTGCTCTGAAATCTGTTAAAATACAAAAAATATGTGGTAATACGTGTTTTTTTCAGTTAAAGTACAACAAAGTAATGTGCTGACAGGGCAGTACATGACGGATAACAAAATTTAAATGTTTTTTAAGAAGCGCTGGGAAAAAGCAGTAAAATGTTTCCTTACCAAACGAGCCCACAGCTAGAAAGTTAATAAGAAATTGTTGTCTGTTGATGAGTGTGATGAGTTTGGAGTGAAATGAGGCAAGTGGTCAATTTTAGCAGAACTGCAACAAACCTGCTAACCTCACTGTTGTAATATGAGAGAAAGAGGATTTGCTGTTCACTTTTTGTGTTGCAAAGCTGCCAGATATCACATGACTTACTGCACATATGCTATGAGTGAGGAAGTCAGATGTTACTTCATCTTTAAACCTTTAACTTTCAAATGACTGATTTGTCTTTAAAAATTTGAGAATAAATTATTTTTGCAGCATGAAAAACTTCATTTTTATTTCCTTTAACACACTTTACATGCAATCCAATGGGAACACCAGTAAATCAACAAAAATTAATTACATTGTCTCAATATCTGTTTGGTATCTTAAGAACAAAAGAAATAGTCAGGTGTCATTATTTTGTTGAGTTGATCATTTCCTGACAGCTCAGATTCCTGAATTGCATCACTTTCACTGTAAATGTGTAAGACCTCATTTTGAGCTTGTTTAGTACGGCAATGGACTTCTTACTGCTTAAGCCACATTGCTGTATTATTTGTCTTATGATCTGCATTGAGGTTTTCAAATATTTAATATGATATGTCAAAATGTAGCTCTGCAGATGTTAATCACAGTGAACTCTTGTCGTACAGGACATGTAAACGTGGGAATTTTAAATAGGCAGCTTAATTCATGACAGCATCAATGCTTAGTAAGTCCACATGACCAAGAGTACTGGAAAATAACACTGCACTGTTTGTAACTGTTGATGAGTGTCATTGTCTGTAAATATGGTGACAGACAACACGCTGCTGTGTCTTCAGGTGAGCTGTAATTTGTATTTCGAGACATTCCTTAAATCATTTACAGTTTGAGGTTCATTTAGAAATAAAGCATAGTATGCTCTGCATTTTCTGTTCTGTTTCTATTGTTACTGTGACAATATTGAGTCATCTGAAGATCTTTTCTCAGAGCAAGTTGTTCTTTCATTATTTCGTTTTAAAACCAAATTGGAAAAAACAAAAAAAAACAATCATCTGGTTTGTTTTTTTTGTTTTAAAACCAAAATGTAAAAACAAAGCAGCTGTGTTGCCAGTGGAACCGGCGCACTGGATGGTCAGTGGTCGTTCCACCACCTATGTTGATGTTCTTCATTTGCTGTTCTTTTGAACCACAGATTAATGAATCGGCAAAGAAGAAGAAGCAGAAGCTTGGAATGAAAAATTTATGAAGAGCAAATATACTGAACAAATGGCTCCAGGTGATGTAGGAGGAAGCTGCAACAGTGGGAGGTTGTGTGAAATAATTAGCTGTGTGTGTGAGTATTTGAGGGGTTTCAGTGTGTGTTTACTGTTAAGGAATAAAAAAGTCGACTTTGTTTTAAATGACAAAACAGGGAAGTTGGTTATGTGTTGCACTCAAATTCATGAACTGAAGAATTTCCTATATAAAAATAATTCGTTAAAGGATCTGATTGCTGCTCTCTTTCTGATGTGGGCTTGTCTGGTAAGTTGCTAATTATTGATTTTAGCCAAAACTCCTCCTGAAGACCACAAAACAAATATATGATTGAATATTTATATTAGGGCTGGGCAAGTTAACACGTTAATTATGCTAATTAATGCCTGATAACTAATTAGTTTAACAGTAAAAGATTCAGAAAACTCACAAACAGCGAGGATCAGTCTCTCTTCCAATGATTTGTGTTGCGCATTCAGAAAATTCAACTTCGGCAGTGGGCGATAAAAGAAAAATGTTTCTGCTGATACATGTTCAGAAAATAAACAAGAAAACTGGACTCTGATGGTAACTTGTTTTAACAAGCTAGGTAAAATGTAATGCCCTGGCAGTGGCAAATACCTTTAGTTTTATATTTGATTTGATTACAATAATGTTTAAGTCAAGATTTACAAGAAATATTTTATTGCTACTGTGTAAAGGGAATCATTTGCAGTTTGAACATCATTTACAGTCAGAAGTCAGTGCAGATAGAGCAAATTTTACATCCTAGTGATTTATACTGAAGTTTTTAGCAGCACTTGAAAAAACAACATGCAACATCTTGCTGCTGAATATTTTGTCTTACTATTCAAAGAGATTTGCTTCACATTATGTTAATCATGAGTCTGGTTTTACAGGTGCTTTGGCTGGTTGTCCTAATCTACCACCAGCCCTCATCATTACTGCACCACAGAAGATGGAAGCACTGAGTGGATCTTGTTTGCAAATCCCATGTAACTTTAGTGTTAAACAAGAAGATTTTACTGGCATGAGTATCTTTGGAGTGTGGATTAAACAACGACAATTTATATCCATTCAATATAACTATCAACAACAATGATCCAATGAATATTACTGAAAAACTGCACCACTCTGGTTTCAAATTCACTCACAAATTATACAAACAGAATTTAGAACTTTGCGATCAGTGGATCCAAAACAACGGCATGTAATGATCCTCTTCAAATAATTGTCGCAGGTAAGAGAGTTTGATTTGGTTTTTATCAGTCTATAATGTTAGAGTTAAAAAACTATATAGACACAGTTTTGACCTAAAAAACAAAAACTATATAACTTGGCTAATAATGCTGATTACTGGTACAAACTGCACCATCTAAACATCTAAATTCGGCAACAGCACGACAGCACCTGATCAGAGGGCACACGGTGTTCTGCCATTGGACCGCTGCCGCCGCCGCCAAGCAACAGTAGGCCTATTCTTAAACGACTAATCGATGAATCGTTGAATTAATCTATAGAAGCTGTGAATACTAAAATCATCGTTAGCTGCAGCCCTACTCAAAAGTATAGCAATATTAATGATAATACTAATAATATCCAAATATAATATTTGTAGCAGGGGATGTCAGGCAGGAACATGGGGGCAGCAGGCGGCCCACAACTACAGATCCAGACCCCACTGCTCCGGAGCCAGAAACACCTGCAGAAAGCGACAGATGGAGAGAGGAGAGGGATGAGAGAGCACAAAACTAAGGGAGAGGGAAAAAGTCGAGTTAGTAACATTTCATCCCGATTTTGTGTGTGTGTGTGTGTGTGTCTGAAATTCTAATTTTGGTGGTTGATTGCTCCACCTGCTGTTTCATATTGTGGGTGTTGTGAGGTTCTGTGACACTTAACACAACTGTTAACACAAGTGCTACGTAGATGACACGTAACATGATCTGACCATCACATTTTCTTGCACACTGGGCCACCGTAGAGGGCACTTTATCAAGTCAAGTGAAGTCAACTTTTATTTATATAGCCCAATATCACAAGTGGTTGGTTTTGAAGCGAAAACCATTTTAGACAATGTCTTAAAAGAGAGACAGGTTCCAAATGAGCAAGAACTGAGACTAACTGGGAGCATGTGGATTTGGTACTTCTGGATCTTACTGCTACTGATTAAGCAGGAGAAATAGGCTGTTTTTGCAGCAGTGAGAGCACGTCTGTAGTTGAAAATGCTCTCATGTCATGCAAGTAAAAAACTTCCAGTTTTGACTTTTTTCATTTTCGTTCCAATCTCCTGCAGGCCGTCTAAACCAGGGTGTAGAGTTCTTTGACTGTATAATTGTGATAGAAAGAGGTGCAACTGAATATAGAAGTGTAAAAATTTCCAGCAGGCTCTGTTGTTCATTAATTGACATTGTGGTGAGTAGCAAAAACATCTGTCAACATTGAAAAGGACGGGCTGAGATAAACAATCAATCAACCAATCAACATTTATGTATATAGCACTTTACAGCAACCAACTGGTGTCCAAAGTGCTTTACATCAAACAAGAATAAACATGCCTGAATTCTTCTGAAGTTGGGAGTAAAGGCCTGGTGGTCTATAGAGGACCACAAGGTGGTGTCCATTTACTAAGACAGCAATTTATAGCTGATGGTTTTCTACCAGAGCCTCAAATGAATTAACTTTATTGTTCAGAGGTTAAATTGAAAATAGACTTGAAGATTAAATCAACACCTCCACCCTGTTCAGTGCCCTGAGCAGCATGGCAGTAGGTGTAGTCAGGTGTGGAAGCTTCATTTGATGGTAAGATCTTTTGGTTTCAGCCATGTTTCATATAAACAAATGCATGTCCAGATTATCCTCAAGAATAAAATCTTTTATCAGTAAGGCTTTGGTAGATAATGATGTGATATTCATAAGACCAACTTTGAGGGTCTTGTTATGGCTGCAGTTTTCAGTATTGGACAAAGCACTGGTGTTGCAGATAGATAATGTTGTGATTGGAACCAGATACTTTTTGTTATTAGAAAAGGGTTTTAGAAGCCAGTTTATGTGACGCTGGAGGGATAGTGATTTGGTTTCGTGAGAAGTTACCAGGTGCTTTCTGGGAGGTTTCATTGATTGGGTTTTGTCACAGTTGGTCCTGTGACAGTTGGAGGTTGCTTCCTTTGTTTTCTTTTCCTGTGGTGTTCTGTGGGCGTGTGTGGGTGTGTCTTTCCCTTGGCAGGGAGCTGGTCGCTCGTTAAGGCTACACACCTGTTGCCAATCCTCATCTACACCTGGTCTTAAGATGTGGGGCTCCCTGAGACTCGTCGCCAGATTATTCCTCGCCATAACTTGTTGCCGAGTCCGGTGTCATTTGCCCTGCTTGGAGGCTCTCTAGGAGAGTGGATTGCCCCTGCCCAGGACTGCCTGCCCCTGCTCGCATCTCACCCACTACCATTTTGTACTAGTCCTTTGTGAATAAACTCTTTACTTTGACGGGCTTTGAGTGTTCTGTATCTGCACCCCGGTCCTCAGTCTTACTAAAACCTAACAGGGTTTATTAGATTATTGTGAGTCACATGTTTAGGGGAGGATGAATAAAGTGGCGGGGGAGGGAAACAGTCCCAGTGCTATAAACAGGGCTATCAGTCTGATAGATGTCATGTTCACTATAAATGGAACGACACACTGTATTGTCTGCTCTGGGTTCATGTCTTAGTCTTAGTACCACTTAATAAAGGGTGACATTTTCTCCAAGCCAGCAAAAACTAAATGGTACTATCTTTAAAGATGACCCCAGACTTGGGTGAACAATATTTTTATATAATGTGTTTTTCTGCTCTATGTTTATTTGTGTAACATAGTTAAAAAGGTTCAGGTTAA